TAAAAATTGAAAAACCTGATTGGTGCGGCGCATAGCAGCAGCCTCGCAACGTTTGGAGAGATTGGCCGTGAATCGAAACCGCCGTTTGGGATTCTTGACGAAACCACAAACTTTTCTCCATTGTTCCAACGCTTCATCGGACGAGTGTTTCGACTTCAAATCGAAGTTCTCATTCAAATAACTTTCCATTACTTGTCTTTTTATCAAAAAGTTTCAGATCGCTTTCGTTCCTAAAACTGCTTCTTAAGCTTCATTCAAATATATAATAAAAAAGGTATCCTGAAACTTGGAAGAAAAAACACGTCAACCGAGTACAAATAAAGAGTCGTACTCGAAATGAATTTCCGGTTCTGCTTGCAACAGCAACGCGGAAGTTTCAAAGACAATTTCCTGGCAATTAGATAATCAAAACAGTAGTTTTGATTTTGAAATGAAAATATTGTGAAAGTTTCTTTCTAATTTTAGTAAGGATTTTGAAATGAAGGATCCGAAATTTGATGCACTTTGCTAGAGTGTTTGAGCTGGTCGTTGCTCTCAACTCTCAATTTCTTTGCCTTCGTTCTCCTACGTTTTTGAAATAAAAGGAACGGGTTTCTCGGGTTAAAAAAAAAAAAAAGTCAACGTATTTCCTGAGTTAAATTAATAAGAAAGTTGGTAAATTGTAACTTGAAAATATGATATTTTAACTATTCTAAAAGGACATTTTCATTATTTAAAATTTTAATAAAACATTAAAATTGTATTTTATGATAATTATAATTTTTAAATTTTATGTATTTTTAATACAAAATAAACAAAGATGAATTCTGAATCTTCTGAACTAAAGTTTCGTCTTTTCTTTAAAGCCACAAACGAAGATGGACGAGTCTTTATTTTACGCGGCTTATGGGCTTTTCGGACGCGGTGGAATATTCGAAACAATGACATTTGCATAGATTTTTTTTTTATAATTTAAAATATGAAATGATGATGTAATATGAATATAATATTAAAATAAAATATAAAATAATATAATTTAAAATTATAATAATTATTATATATATTTAATAAAATAAAAAATTTATATTTTATGTTTTTATATTAATATAAATTATAATATATAATTTTTATATAAAATATAATATAAATTTTAATATTTTATATACTTTGCGTTTAATGTAACATTAACGAGGAGGTAGGCCGAGCCTCCAAGGTTGGACCGTTGTAAAGTGAAAGCTCGCCCGACTTGACCCGTGGTCGGACTTAAAGGGACGGCTTTTACACATAAATAATAAAACAACTCATTAGGCGGAATTGCATTTAAAAGAAACCCAACCAGTCACGTTTTTATGACGGCATTTAATAAACAAAGAATCGCACTGTCAACTGTGTTGGGCTCATTGCAAAGTCAATTCACTTGGGCTCAGGACTTAGGGTTCAACACGCTAGACGGAAGGAACTTCAAGCCGCCCATTACCGAATCTTGCTTTGACACTTCAATTTTTATTAGTAAATCTGTAGAACGGTCCATGGAGTGGAGGAAGGTCTGGATTTGTCATAATTTCAATAAAAATAGACCGTCATGAGCACGTTAGTCCAGAGAACGGTCATATCCGAAAAACTTTCGGCGATTTCGTGTTGTCTCCACCACCTTGAAGAAAAAAAAAAAAAAAAACCCTCCGTCCTTCGAATTTCGATTCATTTTCACCATTTGTTTTTTTCTTCCAATTTCTGAGATCTTTCCTAGTCTTTTACAGCCATGAGCAAGGGACCAGGACTCTTCATCGATAAAGACAAGAAAGCCGAAGGTAACCAAATTCCCCATCTCCTTCTCTATCTACCGTACTATCATCCGACCAACTACGAAATTTCTCATTTGCGTTTAATGATCTATTTTTATTTCTCTCTCTTTTTGAACGCTTAGATCTTTTGACCAAAGATTATACCGCGGATCAGAAATTCACTGTTTCCACATACACTGGCGCTGGAGTGGTAGGACAAAATTATCTCTTTCAGACTTTTACACCTTGAATTTTAATTATGTTTATATAGTAGCAAGGTCTTGATAGATTATTCTATGAAAATTGAATGAAATGCGGATTTGATTGCTTAGATCTTCTTATCACTTGATTTTGCAGTCCCTGCAAGAAGCTGTTTAGATTAATGCTAATATAAGAAAAAAGATTGTGGTTTTAGCTAATATGTATGTCATTTCTTGTTCAGATTGCTTTAAATATGAACGAGATGATTGATGCAATTACCTTAAAAGAGGTTACATATGGTAAATTTGAAGTTCAAATTACAACACCTGCGATCCTTCTCCTATCTTTGTATTGTAGCCTCTTTTGTATTAAAAAAATTACTTTAAATATTTCAAGATAAGACATAAAATCCCCAGGCATTTGACAAATCAAGGTTCTTGTTCTTTCTTTATACTCGTCTTATTAGGGATGATTTCACTGAATTTCTTTGATCTCAAAGATTGTGATAGTAATTGTTACTTTGGAACCATGTACATTTTGTCCTTGTCCTGAAGGTATTATTTGGGTGAAACTGTGTCTAACTCACGTTTAAACTCGTGCTATGCATTTCTCCTTCTCGATTTTTTTTTTTTTTTTAATGTTGAAAAGGGGGTGGTTTGAACTTTGGTATGTCTGCTGATATTAATGAAGCTTCATGGAATCTATGTTAAGCTAGATCCTCATGAATTAAAACATTTCACAGGTCTTCATTGTGTTAATTCCGTTTTGTCTCCTATTCAGGCCCTCACTTCAACTGCCCTGAAGAAAGGAGGACTTTCTACTGGAGATGTTGCTGCAATATACAAGTACAAGAACACTCTCTTTGATGTCGAAGTCGATACTGATTCTAACGTGGGTTCTTACTTTCTTTGGAAACCATTGAACAACAAGTAGCCTAATCCAGCTGAGCGTCTTACATTTTTACATTGTTTCGGCAGATCTCAACGACGCTTACATTCATTGAGATTCTTCCATCGACTAAGGCTATTGCATCATTCAAAGTGCCTGATTATAACTCTGGCAAGGTAGGAAGTTGCCTCTCCTAAGCAGAGATGTTTTTCATGATGATGATTCGGGTGTTTAAAAGTTTATATCTTCTATCTACATATTGTGCAGTTGGAGATTCAGTATTTCCATGACCATGCAACCTTTACAACAACAATTGGTTTGAACCAGACACCAGGTGTTGATGTCACAGCCACCATTGGCACGCCCGCTATTGCTTTTGGTGCCGAGGCAGGTTATGATACAACCTCTGGCAATTTTACAAAATACGCTGCTGGTATTAGTGTGACCAAACCAGATTCATGTGCTTCCATAATTCTGTAAGCTTTTTTACGCTATCATAGTTGCTCTGCTTGATTAGAAATGAACAGAAGAAAGAACTTGCTAATCTTTTGTCACTGTTTTCTTTCTTTTTACTATCAGGGGAGACAAGGGAGACAGCGTAAAAGCATCCTATGTGCATTATCTGGATTAGCTGAAGAAGAGCGCTGCTGTAGGTGAGATCAGCAGAAGGTTTTCCACAAATGAGAACACATTTACTGTTGGAGGGGCCTATGCTGTCGATCATCTCACACTGATTAAAAGCTAAGTTCAACAATCATGTGAGGCTTGGAGCATTGCTGCAACATGAGGTTGTACCAAAGTCATTGCTGACAATCTCCGGTGAACTTGACACCAAGGCGTTGAACAAAAGTCCCCGCTTTGGATTGGCTCTTGCTCTGAAACCCTAATCGGTTTTTAGCTATTGGATGATGCTTACAAATTTTGATACATTAGAAAAAATTTTTGGTGACTGAAAAGGGATGTCAATAAGTAGTTCCACAGATGATTAATATTCATTTCTAGGTTCTGGATGACTGAATGGATTTCGATACTTTAAGGCTTTCCATGATTCAATATGTAAGTTTTGAGCCATTTTGACATTGGTAAATTTAACCCTCGTTTTATTGTGGATTTCCTTTTAATTGGTCAAAAGCTTTTTAAATTTCTTCATTTAGTTGCCTTACTTGAAGTTCCTCCAAATCTGTCATATCCAATTAACCATTCACAGCCAGCCTTAAGCTTACAGGCAACTCTTTCAAGTTTCAAGTCCGGAAGGCGTCACTCCCCTATGTACTCACTCTCCCCTACGCACAAAATTTGGTCGAATTTTCAAATCATTCCTGTTACCAATAACCTACAAATTGGCTGGCCTGTCATAGGTTTCACAAAAGCCAGAGAATGCATTTTTATCCGATTCTAGATGACGATAAATCATTCAAACTTAACTCAAAGTACAAGTATAATTCAAAGCAAGGAAAAATTCAGAAGTTGGTAATTGGTATAGCTGCTAAACTTTCTTATTCTCAGATCCATATTTCTAATTCAGTAGATAACACGCATTGTGCTTTTCAAGAGAAGGGAATCAGTAAGCTGCTTCATATTATTATTATTATTCTCATCAAATAAATGATAAATAGATAATAAGAAAGAAATCACAAGAGCTGCAAATAACTGATAAAGGAACAAGGTACACATGGTGATGTTGCATTTTCAGAGTATTTCAATGATTAATGGAAATCACATATAAGGTACATGACAAATTGGATATTGGGCTGTTGAGCAACACAAACAAATGAACTAAGGTTGCATTTTGATGCATTTTATAAATCTAAGCTTTCTCAAGAGTCAAGACCAAGAGAAAAACAAAAGCTAATCAAGTGCAAACTAAACTTTTAGTACTAATCTCTCTACAACTCAACATATCAGAAAAACTTTGGCAATTCCATGTATTTATTGCATCTGAGATTCATAACAATATAACTAGCTTAATATTGAAAATCCCTCAAAAACATCCATCCATTTGAAAGGAAATTAAATCATCCAAGCCTAACCCATCAAAAAACAAATCTAGAGCTCAAAGCAAAAGACCCAAAAACTCATCTATAGTGATCAAGTCAGAAAATGCAGCAAAAAAACAAAATAAAGATCACCATTGCATTATCAAGTCTACAAAATCCCAGATTCCTCGTTGTATTACCGATTGATAGCACAAAACTAAAATCCAACAGTTGCAAAGCCCCTAGAGATAACATAACAAAACATATCATAGCATTAAAAGGAAAAAGACAACCTTAATCGACACTCTGCATGATATCCTCGGCAGAAAACTTGGTACCCTTGTCCTTATCAGCAGCAGCACGTCCCTTGGCCTTACAATCCAGCAACGACTTCCGATCCTTGTCCAGCCTCAGCTTGGTAATGACGACCTTGGATGGGTTGATTCCAACGTTCACGGTCGAACCGTTCACTTTCTCGCGAGTGATGCGCTCGATGTGGATCACCCATTTGCGGCGGTAAACTTGAACTACTTTCCCTTCGCGGCCCTTGTAGGTACCACGAACGACTTGGACCTCGTCGTCCTTGCGTACCGGCATGGACCGGACGTTGTACTTGGACCTCAGATCGGATGACAGTGGTGCGCTCATCAAAACGCGGCGGACGGACGACGGCGCCGAGAAATGGGCCTTACGGTTCTTGCGGCGAGAAGAGGAGACGCGTGGGTTGTACTTCATTTTAGCTGCGGGGGAAGGTGTAGGGTTTGGTTCCTGTTCGACTCGACGACGGCCAAGGGATAAAGTCACGAAATAGGGTTTTGAGAGAATACATATACAGTCGAGGAGTGGAGTGGAACTAGGGTTACCTTGGAATTCATTGGGCTTTATGGATCTCAAGAGTTTCTTTTTTTATGGGTTGCATCTGGGTTTCGCTGAGACGTAACTCGGTTTTGGGCTTTTTTTAATTTTTTCTCTTTTCCAACATGAAAATAGATTTTTTATTTTATTTTATTTTATTTTATATATGTACGGGCAAGAAACTATCATATAATTTTGTCTTCAGTTTAATTGTTGACATTTATACAGCCAACATTTGTATAGAAAAAAGTTTACAAATGGAATTTTCAAGTTATTAGGGTTATTACTGAAATATGACATTGCATGATTTATTTTTTAGCCATTGTTAAATAAATAACTAAAATGGAAAAGGTTCAGTTTGAAAAAATTGATAATCGACTTAATTGATTTTTATTTAACAAATAATCAAATCGATCAAATATTATTAAATAATTGATAATAATTAAATCGATCAAAATCTGTTCGGTTAGATCGGTTCGATTAAATAATCGATTTTTTATCATTTTTTTTTATTATGAATAATTATTTAACCACAAATTTAATTCAATAAAATTCAAACTCTAGTATTATTCAAACTAAATTACTAAATAATTTAATAATTTCAACAATATTTTACAAAAAAAATAAAAATATTTATCTCAATTTTTTTATTTTTAATTATTAGAAAGTAGATTAATTCTGTCAGTGCGATTATCAATTTTAAAAATTAAAAATTAACTGAATTAATCAATTTAATCGATTTAAAATTTTGATTATAACTAAAATCGAATAAATTAAATCGATTCAACCGAATTCATTCGATTTCGATCGATCTAGTTGATTTAAACCTACTTTTGCTCACCTCTAAATCTAAAAAAAAAAATTAAAAGTAAAATTAATTTAATAACTTCTTATATTTAATATAGTAAAAATTTTCATTATCAAGCGCATGCCGAATCATTATCTAATTTTTTTCTTTGTTAAGATAAAAAATGAATGATTAATATTAAATTTTAAATTTATTAAATATTATTTTTAAAAAATTACATGAATCAAATATGTTAAATCTTTGAGTTCACCAAATTCATTGGTGTTGGATATATACAAAATAATTTTTAAAAAAAGTTTCTGACAAATAAAAAGGGTTAGCTAAAGTCCAAATGAAAGTGGCAACAGTGTTAACTTACTCCAATTTGAGTTTAAACCCTAATTTTCTTAAGAGTGCATAAACAACTGTTTTTACTAACTATAAGCATATACAATGAATAAAAAAAAGATCTCAAATTTGGATTTAATTTCCAACCTTTTTTTGTTCATTTTCGTTTAGAATGTGAAAAAGGTTAGTACTTTGATGGAGACAACACCCCAAAGGCCCAATTGTTCAGAGGATTTTGACTTTCTATGCAAAATGGAGAAGCCAAGGACAACTGTCCACATCTTTCTCCATTATCCTCAATTTATCTTTCTTGGTAGTAAATTTTAAGATGCCTTTTTAAATCTGTGATTGATTCTTTGCCCCAATATGTTAGGCAAACAATTCACTGAAAATGCGCAAGTGCCACACTTGTCATTTTTTTTTTTTTGAGTTTTTTTTTTTGTTTGATAACCACTTTAAATTTTAATTAATTTAAATTTAAGTTAAATCGAACCCATAAAAAAATAAAATTTTTTCACTTTTTTTATTTAAAAAATTTAAAATTAAAATTTTATTTAAAAAATTTAAATTCTTTAATCATTCGTACCAACAGATCATAATTATCAATTCTCAATCATTAAGATACGGAAGAAACTGGCTTGTAAGTGTAAAAATATTGATCAAATAGCTTATGCTAATTGGTAGACCTAATAGCTTAGATATGGCTAGATGCAAAAATCTATTAGATTTTCCTTCCTTCAAACGAAATGAGATGGAAAGTCAATATCAGATTTCCAAAAGCACATGCCAAGAGAATTTTGGTCAGAATCCAAAATATTTTGATTTCTTAATAAATTTGGTAATTTATGTATTTATATAATTTAAAATATTAATAATTTATATATTAATAATATATTTTATATAAAAATTAAATATTATAATTTTTATCAATATAAAAATATAAAATATATTTTAATTTTATTAAATTTATTTATAATTTTTGTTAAAATTTTAAATTATATTATTTTATATTTTATATTTGTATCATTTTTGTATTCTAATATTGCGGTTTTATTTCAAATGGTTATTTAAAAGCTAGCATTTATGAGCTATCACATGCGACCATTAATATCCCTACCGGCAAAGGAATTTCTCACCCCCTATCCTCCTCAGTAACCCTAGTCACTAGTGCCAATGACAACTACAATACAACATTGGATAAAAAGCCACGGACCAAAGGAACCTCTTCCAATCTCTAAAGAAGAAACAATGAAGCCTTGGGGAAGTTTAGGAGTCGTAGAAACTATCTATGAAGAAGAAGATTATGAGAACTCTTCCACCTTTCCTTCTCTTTCTCCTTCAGTTCTCTCTTCTCCGCCGACATCACTCCATTCCAGAGTGGAGGCTTGGTATTTATTATTTTTTTCTATTTTTTTATATTTTAATACTTGCTTTCTTAATTTTGATCTTATTTTTTTTTGGGTATTGTCTATTATAAGGTCATCGGCAATGGGGCATAAAACTGACGTGCTGATACATGTCCAGGGAAACGCTTTTCACCTTCACAAGGTATGTTATTGCTTGATCTGCTGGGTGATCAACCTGACTTTGATCCAAAACCTGTTTCTTTGTTTCCTTGGGGTGAAGTGGGTTATTAGAAATTTATCACTTTGTTTCAAGAATATTTCACAATGTGTGCAAGAATAACTTATTTCCTATTATAGAGATATGATATTTTTCAAGTTTTTTTACTTTGATTTGCATTTTGCAACGTTAAAAATGGTAAAAAAAAAAAAAAAAAAGGATTTCTGGATACCAAAAGTCAAACTCAAACTCTCAAAGCCGAAAAACTGAAAAGCCTTTTCAGAATATAACGCACGTTTATTATATAGGATATTTGGGGACAATGTCTCAATGATTTTTTAACTGATATTTCTGCAAAAAAGTTTATATGAATTTTTAATGGTTTCATTTGCTTGCAAATTCACCAGATTCTTGAAATTCAAGCTGGGAATATCAGTTCTCATCAAAATTTAAAAAAAATTGGCAACCCCAACTACGGGTTTTAATTATTGGCCAAAAAAGCTACTGGTTTTAAATTATAAAAACATTTATGTTGAACTCGAAATTTATTTCAATTAAATTTTCTGATCATCTTAAAATAACATTTAATAATATGAGTTCAGATCCCGTAATCTGTACTATTATACCAAGCTACCTTTAACTTTGTAAAAGAAAAAGAAAGTAAAATTTCACATTTCAGCTTTCAATTTCCAACTTAATATAAGGTTTCCAAAATAAAATTTTCCGATGAAAATATTAGTAAAATGTTCTTGAGGAGTTGTGTCTGAATTAAGTGAAATCATAGTCCATTTTTCCTATTAATTCCATTTGATGCAAAATTAAAGGAGAAAGTAGTATTAATATCTAAACGCTGCTTTTAGCAATTAATGAATAATTATGGGTTCCCTAATTTTTTTTTTCTTGATAGGATCCTCTGTCCTCCAGGAGCATCTATTTAAGGCGGCAACTAATGGAACAATCGGAATTAACGTTATCCCCACCGTTAAACATAACTGCCGAAACGTTCGCTCTCGTTGCCGACTTCTGTTACGGGACCCACCTCCTTGTAACGCCGTTCAACGTTGCGTCCCTCCTGTTAGCAGCGGAACTCCTCGGAATGACGGAGACTCAAGGTAACGAGGACCAGAACTTGAAGCAGATGACTGATGGTTACTTCCGTCGATTCGTCGCCGTCAACAGAGAGTACGCGGCGATTGTTTTCAGGTCTTGCCTGGTGTTGCTCCCAGAGGCGGAAACAACAGCGTTTCTCGTTAGTAGATGCATGGAGACTATGAATTTGACGGACGATGGTGACGGCGTGGTCGATTTTTTTGACGACGTTATTTCTTTGCGCGCCCCGGATTTTAAAATCGTGACGGAGTCTATCCAACAACGATTTGAGTGCCATGATCTGCTTTACAGGATCGTGGATTTCTATCTCGAGGTAAGGGCATTATAATAATTTTATTCATCTAATGTTAGCACATGCCAAAATGAAAATTTTCAAATTTTTTGTTTTTAAGTAAAATTAAATTTATGATTAAACTAATCAATTAAATAAGCAGTCGAATGATTTATTAATATAATATTAATTTTAAACTAAAATTTATCGAATTTACCATCATGTACAAACTTTTTTAATAGGTGCATTTAGAAATTTAGGTGAAGTAGTCTAGGGATGAATTAAATTTGTACCTTGAATTTATTTAAGATTGAGTAGGCACAATGTTTGGTGTCTATTTATTGATGGATGAGATTGATTAATTTGAAAATCTTTAATTCCCTCCAATTCTCAACTTTTCTTAGCTATGAATATATATATATATATATATATATTGTATACTTTGGATGTGGAATAACTAGGGTTGTACCATTGCTGAAATTTCAGTGGATGAATGAACTGTTGAGACCAAGGCTCACATTCATTAATGTGCATTAATCTTTTAAAGATCTTTTGTTTTGTACTCTAGACATAAGTTAATTTTAATTATAATTTTTTAAAAAAACTGCATTGTGTATTAGGTTTATTATCTTAATTTAATTATATATTTATTGATGATAATAAAGTTTAAAAATTTTGCAAGTCGGCTTTTATAAAATAATTTTTGCAAAATATTGATATTTTTCAAAAAAAATAGTAAAGTTTTTTTTATTATTGAGATGATAAAACAAAAAATATTTTAAGTTATTTTGTTTTTTTTTTAAAATATTACTTTTTTCAAATAATAATATTGATATAATTATTAAAATATTATTTTAGATATTAGAAATTATATTACTATAATAATATTTTAAGTCAAATCAATGTCTAAAAAATCATGTCCAAAGCCCAACTCGAGTCAACTCATGAGTTTGGCCAAAAATCTTGTTCATAATCAGTTTTTTTTAATTATTATTTATTTCATTTATCAATAAATTATTTTTGTTTTTCGAATAATTTTTTATCAACCAAGCATCCAAAAATACAAAACTTTTTGAAAGATTTTTTATGAAACAAACAGAACATTGATGTAAAAGGTAAATGATTCTCATAACATTCTTAAATCATAATTAGAAATATAATTGTTTTATGAACTTATGACATCCCCAACTGTTAAAATTTAAAATTTTATCTTATATAGGAGTAAGATTAATAATAAAATAAAATTATTTTTTATTATATAATTCATTATCACGTGTATTAAAAAAATGAACTTAGGACACCTAATGTTGATTAGAAGGAAAATTACTCTATATTTGATTGGAAGATATATATAGTAGGAATGAGAATTCATCTTCAAGTGATTATCATGAGAAAGTTGTTGTCTGGACAGAAGCACAATGGGAAGATAACGGAGGAACAGAAGACTCAGATATGTAACTCCATTGACTGCAACAAGCTCTCACCTCAGCTCCTCCTACATGCAGTGCAAAACCCTCGAATGCCTCTGCGATTCGTTGTCCGAGCCATGTTGGTGGGGCAACTCAATCCCCACCGCTCCATTTTCTCAGCTGCTAATCACCATTATTCTCGTAGGCATCGCCTTAGAGACGCCGATGACAACAACAACAACAACATCACCCTTGGTGCAATCTTGCAACGCGAAGCGACAATGTGTGAAACTGCTCAACTCAAGGCAGCAATGGATGCCACGAGCTCCCGCATCCAAACCCTGGAAAAACAGCTGCTTTGCTTGAAGAAGATCTTGCAAAAATCAGATGATCATCAGAATGGAGGAGTTGGCGGGTCGTCTAGGGATGTGTTGGAATCAGGCAGGTCAGCTAGTTTCCATTATGGTTCAGGGAATAAGATTGAAAGAGCAGATAGAGAAGCTACTGCTTCAGCGAGCTTTCGATTCAGCGGTCCAGAAGAGCGAGCATTTGGGTCTTCATCATCGGAGAATTCATGCATTGACAGTCCTAGAATCAAGAAAAACATAGGGCAGAGGTTGATCAAAGGGTTAAAGAGCGCATTGGGGGTATCAAAGTCTGCAACCAAGAATGGCTCTGATCACAACAAAACATTTTAGCAGGCCAAACATAGCACTAATCTTTCCACAAATTCATGATAATTGACAGGTAGTAGGGAGGTTTTTGACTTCTAGCTTTGCTCAAAGGTAGATTAATTTCAAATGGTTTTTAGGTTTTACTTACCCCTTTTTTTTAAAAAAATGAGTAATGCTATTTATATAACTCATGATTGCAATTATTTGTGAACATTTTATATGATTGAATTTAATAGAACATTTGTGGAAGTTAATTTCACTATATGGTAAGGCCAGCAGCAATGTTTGCACATAGTTATGAATGTAGATTGTCTATGTATTTAAGAGAATTATAAATGTACTTATTTTTTTTTTATCCCTTCTTATAAGGTAATGATTAAGGAAGGCAAATGGCAAATTGAGTAAAAATTGAATTTTTTTTATAAAAAAAGATGTAGTACAAGGAAAGTTTGAATTTAAAAATTATTAGATATTATTTCTTATGATTATATGAATTAATCGAATTAAATTTCATATTTAAATTGTTGATTTCATTTTTAATTCATTGTATAATCTGTATGATTAAGTTACATAAGTAAAAGAATAAACAATATACACATTAGAAGTTGATTTTTTTCATTCCATAAATCTTTTATTTTCTTCAAAGTTCGAAGATTGATCCTTGAAGTTAAGAGATCTTGAATTCTAAAAACATTCTATTACTTCATTATTGCTATAACTTTTTAATTTCCTTTTCAAGCTTCAAACATAAAATTTCCAATTTAATAGTTCAAACTCCAATTTGTTAAGCCAAAGTAGTAAAGTAATTCTTTTCTTTATTGTTGTTGTTTTTTCGTTTCTTTGCACATATGAAAAATCAATTGACTTTTACTTTCTATAACAGTATATGGTGGCAAATCCAAATGATGAATTACAGTGTTTATGAACACTTCTAACAATTTTTTTAAAAAAATTTTGAAAATTCTTTTCCTTTAAACTCTTTTAAAATTTTATCTTGCACACATTTTCGATTGATAAAATTGATAAATTTATTGACGGATTTTCATTTATATTATAAGTGAATAATTTTAAAAAAATTTCCTATGTATTAGATGCCATAAATCTTACTTTTCTTTTTCAAGATTTAATTAAAACTCGAAAATTTTCAAAATTTAAATCATTGTAACATTCACTTATAAAAGCCTTACTACTTTAGTACATTTTTTTTTACCTAAAAATGACAAATAATGACATTTTTTTTATTTGAGAGAAAGAAATTCGTATCATACATCAATATCATTGAATCAAAATACTAGAGTGGGAAACATATATACAATTATATATATTGCTTACATCTATTTACTAAAAATATTATATTTTTGTTATATAAATAATGAAGACTGGTCATCAGTCTAACCAGTCAGAAGATTTTTTTGAAGCTCACCAAAGGGGAGCTTACCCTAGAATCTCCCATGGTTAATGGACGCATCGTGATGTCCTTATTTTTGTATGTCTATTTTAAAGATGTTCATAGGAGAGATTAATTTAATTAGTTCGATTAATTTTAAATTAAATTATTTAAAATTAAATTAATTGAATTATAATATTTTATTTTTGTTAATTAAATTTAATATGTAAGTTTTTAAAAATTAATCAATTAAATTAAATTGGATGAATTTGATTAAATTGGTTAATTTATTAATTGAGCCTTTCATGGTTAATGCACACGTCATGATGACATGAATTTTGTCTGTTTATTTTATTAACTTTTATTTTAAATTATTTAAAATTAAATTATTTAAAATTAAATTAATTAAATTAAATTATTTTATATTCATTAAACGAGTTAAATATGTTAATTTAAAAAATTAACTAACTGCTCAATTCGATTAATTTTTTATTAACTAAATAATTAAGTTGATTTTAAGCAAATGCAAAAAAAATCAATTAAGTTTATTTTTAATTTTTCAAAAATAAAATCTTTTCGCTCCATCTTATGCAGGCATCAGCAAAATTATCACGTGGCCTAAATCTTCCATCCATGTAACCCACACAACCCCATGCTCAATAAAGGCGCGTGGTACGCACAACTAAACCAAACTGGATGTGGGATCCCGTCGACAGTCCACTCTCCATCGTCCACCTCTCCTTCACTCTCTCTTTCAAAAAACAAATAGAAATAAAAATCCCAACTATTCTGTCCTTCCACGTCAGCTTCCCATCCGTGAAATCAAATCATTTTGTAATTTTATTTACTGCTTCACCGTTAACTTCGCCTAGCGCTCTCCTCTTTCAATCATTGGTTTTTTCAGTTAAAATGGTTGCCCTCAAGGCGGTACGGCCAACGATTTATTGTTCTTCTTCCAGTTTCGAAAGTGGTCCGTCGGTACCGCTTCCGAAGGTTGGCTTCGTGAAGTTGAAGTTACCGTCGCCGTTGCCTTCTTTGGGGTTGAATGGCGGCAACAATGTGAGGTTGAGATTGGTTCAGGCGACGGAGGAATCGACCGTGTCTATTACGAATGATCGTGATGCTGTTATATCTGGTACCTTTTTTTTTAATGTTCATAGGTGATCAAGTGTTTAATTTTCTTTTTTCTGGTACAGCTAAAGGGTGGAGGAGCTATTGAAAATAAAAAGGTAATCTTTGGTTTTTTTCATTATTATTATTTTTTTAATGAAGAACTGGGTTTTAGGGCCACCTTATTGTTTGGGAAGAGGGGAGCGTTAAAGAAAGACGGCATCTTTGGATACAGCCTAATGTGGTATCTTCAGCTGGCTTGGATATGGTTTTAACTTTTAACTTTTTTTTTTGCCAATTTTAGTTGGAGTATTTTTTTCATATGTATGTAAAGGTAGGGTGAAAGGTCTAATTAGTTTGACTTTTGAAGTTGTTTTCAGCTTAGAGTGTGCTCTAATAGGTTCTAGTTCTACTCTTTTAGACTGTGGCTACAATGCTTTTTTTAAAAGGTCATTTTCCATGAACATACTTCCATTTCTCTCCTTTTCGGTAAATGAAATTCGGTGTGGAGTAGATAGGTTACTTCAGCCCCATGTTATGGACATAGATGTGTAGTTTCCCTACTCACCTTCATGAAGGACTTACCTTCATAGATGTGTAGGCTGGTCCATTTTAATTTTTATTTCCAAGATTTTAGTTTGCTTAATGGATAGGTCGGGGATGAAGAAGTTGAGCTTGGGGACCATTTTGGACATGGGGTGTGCCTTGGAGTCATCAAATTTCCATCTGTATATATCTTCAATGAAAGCTGGCATGGTTGGCATTAAAAGCATAACTTGTTTTTTCCTGGTAGAATTCCCAGACAAATTTTGTATAATGGTTGCCATCCAAACTCACATATTCCATATTGAGATGGAAGTTTAGAGAACAACCACAATACTAAATCTGAAACTATAAATATTTGTCAAAAAAAAAAAAGGAAAGTAATTGGTAAAATAAACTCTTTGTTTATAGTGGCTTCTTGTTTTTGGGACGATAGTAATATTACCGATAATAAATCAACTGGATACATCTGAATCCCTAAAGGTAAACATCAACCTTTCAGATTGGACTATTTATTATTATAGTTTCTTTAGATGCTGATTTATATGGGTAAATAACTTTCTTATTTTGGGAGACTCTGTTCTATAATGTTAGTATGAAAACTTTGGCCATTCCAAGGAATTAATTAGTAGTAATGATGACTGTGCAAGGTCATGATTTCTTTAGTATATGGTTTATTTCCAGTTGCGTCTACTTAGGATTCTAATTTCAAATGTCTAACTAGTCAAAATGTCCGCCAGATGGCTACTAATGGAAAGGCAACGAATGTTGTATGGCACAAAAGTTCAGTTGGTAAACCTCATCGGCAAGAGTTACTTCAGCAAAAGGGTTGTGTCATATGGATTACGGGTCTCAGTGGCTCAGGTTTGTTAAAGCAATTTATGTGGATACTGAAATTATGCTAATCTTTTTATTGTCATTAACTTAATTCTTGTTTTCTGCTTTTCATAAGTAAATAAGATGGCTTCTTGAGCTTATGATGTGCTTTAGTAGTCTTCTTTGTTTGCTAAAGCAACCCAAAAAGGTTGCCAAAAACTGAACCATTAGTCTTTTAGTTGTGGAGGAACTTGTAAATTCAGAATCAAGAACTTAGGGCAACACAGCTGATATTTCAGATTTTACTAAGTGCCTTAGGGGAACTGAAGAGTGTATTAAAACATCATTTCATTATCCCATTGTTTCGCTCCCTATCCCTTTCTCTCACTGTGGTCTATGAATTTAGGAAAGAGCACTTTGGCATGCGCTCTTTGCCAAGACTTGTATTCAAGGGGAAAGTTGACATACATAATGTTCGGCATGGTTTAAACCGTGACCTTAGTTTTAAAGCAGAAGATCATGCAGAAAAACATACGGAGGATTGGTATATGCTGTTTGATTCCTTATCATACTTCTTTTCTGCTTTATCCTTTCATTCCATTCTTCTGATGTTTTCAAGTTTCAACTTGTCATGATTCACGCACAGGAGAGGTAGCAAAGCTCTTTGCTGATGCTGGCATCATATGCGTTGCCAGTGTGATATCTCCCTTTAGAAGAGACAGGGATGCATGCCGTGCACTGTTGCCAGAAGGAGATTTCATTGAGGTATGTGCTGCCTTTAAGAATCCTTAAATCCCGAGGGCTTTGATCTTATTTGTGAGAAAGGGCTTTTTGCATCAGAAGGTTCTTTATTGCCCTAGAAAAATTTCACTAGGCAATGCTTTGGACAGGTGTTCATGAATGTGCCACTCCGAATATGTGAGGCGAGGGACCCAAAGGGCCTGTACGAGCTTGTAAGAGCTGGAAAAATTAAAGGCGTCTATCCTCCTGGATTTTGTATTTGAAGATTGGTATAAGCTCGCATTTCAAGAGTAGCTTATTGTGATGTTTTCTTTGTAGGTTTTACCAGTATTGATGACCCGTATGAACAACCTCTGAATTGTGAGGTATGTATATCGTTGGAGCAATATTCTTGTTTGGCATAGGCTCTTACTTGTTCAAAGTAACTCCTAAATATTGTCTATGCTTCAAACATGAAAATCCAGCTAACATAAATCTTGAAATCGTTTCAGGCATGTTCAGGCTTAGTTGCTAGTGTGCTTGTGAATGGCTAATGGCCATATGAATATGATAGATATTCTGTCATGATCATGATTCAAGTATCTGTTATTGGCTGGCATATTTCTGGTCATCTCAATCTGAACATGTCTAAGCCGAATTTTAGACAAATTTGCGTGACTGGTATTCATACATATTCAAAATGGCAATGCTTTCCACTTTGTTTTTTTTAAATCTCATATTCCAGCATTCAAATTGAAGCTCAACCTTTTCTATTTTGCAGTTAGAATTGCCACAGAAGGGAAATAACTGTGCTTCCCCATATGAAATGGCCGAAACTGTGATATCTTACCTGGAGGAGGAGGGTTGCCTGCAGGCCTAAGAAGACAGAAACCCAGCAATTCCTGGTTTCCGCAATCACCTGTAATATAGTGTTAATCAATGAAAATCGATTCTTTCCTAAATTAAGGAAATTTATCTTTCCTGCTTTGGGGAAACTTGTTTTTTCCTATATCCATATTCTGTTTCTGGCCAAGGAAACTTCTTGTTTCCTGTTTCTGTAGCCTGTTTCCGGCATCCATACTTTATATCCTTCATTAGATAATTAATAGCTCGATTAATTAGTCTCATTATCCCTTATCAGGCCTTCTTAAAGCCATGTTATTGGTGTTTGAATTTGTATTGGGAGCCAGAAACAATACGAGTTTGTATCATATATCATTGTAATGATTACTTAGGAGTAAAAGGCTATCTCAGGTTTTAACTGAAAGATACCCTTAAATTTGTAGATTTCTTCCTCGCTCTTTAGCCTAAGTACACAGGTTTTATATGCATCAACCAAGATTTTGCCCTGATTGAAGTATTCCCTAATCAAGCAAATGTAATATCTGCTAGCCTAGAGATTTAGGGATGTGCCGATTTGCAACTAGATCAGCCTTGGAGGTCCCAAAATTCGTAATGGCCCTCAGCTTTTTATCAAAGGCCAAGGTACAAGTTTCTGATTGTTCTTCACTAATGAGTTCTGGAAGGAAATGGAGAAAAAATGTTTGTAGGAAATGGGAATATATGTAGGTTAATCCACTTTGTAGAACGAATCTTCATATCAGAATCCGAGAGGGACACTTTATCCAAATTATAATGAAGGAAACGATGGTGTGACAGTAATAATCTACCAGCATTTGTTCTTATATCAAGATATGAAGGAATGGCCATATTTAAAGAGAACATAGATAAAATATCTTGTGAGGATATAAATCTGAAAACGAAGTTGGAGCTGATTTCTACACTCTCGTTTCCCAAGCCATTTTCTTTTAATTTTTTTTTTTAAATTGAGGATATAATAATGATAAAATTGCTTCTTTGTGAGTGGAAGGTCACGGGTCCGAATCTTGAAAACAGGTTTTTTGTAAAAAATGCAAAAGAAAGTTGTTTACTATGAACCTTTATCTCAACCCTCGCAAAACGAGAAGTTTTGTACACCGAGATTTACGCTTTTTATATAATAACATAAGGTTCAATCATGTTGACTGGCTCACCTATAATGTGAGATTCAAAGCCCTTAAAGAGAATAAAGTATGAAACCCAGCTCTGAAATATCTTCTTTCTTGCCTATCCCCAAGAAAACTTAGCTGAAACCAGCATCTTGTTATTTAAAGAAACTGCTTAATTTTTTTGACACAAACAATAGACTTGATGGATTGCTTTTAACCTAAATATATAGTAGGTTTCTAAATTTGAAACCAAATAAAAAAAAAAACTAGAAAAATGGTTTTTTTTTTTTTTACAAAGGAGGTGGCGATTTATGAATAAAAAAAGTATTGCAGGTATTAATATTTGAGCTTCATATACGTCGGATGTCACATGACCATATAAATCAACTAAACCGAGCAAAGCTTTTGGTTCATAAAAATGTTCATTTACTTTTCCTACCAGTCTAACCATATGGGGATATGGTTTGCAAAAGAAAACTGAAGGGATTTACAAAATTATCCCCTTTTGATCTTAATTTGCAGAGAGAACTGGTATATGCTAATTTCATTTATTGGAAAATTCTCATTCAAAACACAGCAAAAGTGGACATCTAACATGCGCACTGCAGCTTGGAAATACATACATGAATCGATAAATTTTGCTTTAACTTACCAAATTATTTGCCAAAGTGACAAAATGCTAATAATAGAAGAAAGGCCATATAATTGATAATACCACATATGTTCTTGTTGGTCAGTAACAAAAGCTAAAAGTGCAACAAGAAACAGAACTATAAGAACAATATAAGCTTTAATATTCAAGAATGAAAGAAGAAAGAAGGAAACGAAAATCAAAAGAAGGCAAGACCAATAGCTGGTCTTGCATGCCTATGAATGGACAAGAAGCAGACCACAAGGGCCATGGTCATGGAAATAGCAGCTGAACTAACGGCATCAAAAGTTGCAGAGAACCGCCTCTCCTGCAGACTCCAAAGCGTCCTGAAAAGCAATCCCACTCCATCAACGATCATTGCCACCACCAGGGCCATCCTCAAAGGTGAAAGCAAGAATATAAAAGAATGACCAGAGAGCCCTCAGATACTACAAAAAACAACCTGACCTAACCTATATTGATCAGAAACTATCTCTTTCAGCTAAAAAAAGGGGTTAAAATGAGACTTGGAGAGCGTTCATTGCAGCTGAAGAAAAGAGGGTGGGTAAAGGGATTTAAGAGATTGAGACTACCGTCTTTTTCTTGGGTTCTTTCATCATTATAGTTTTAAGATCTATGACGCCTTGTAGGTAAAGGGGAAAAGGACGCTGCTTCCGCGTTGCTTCCCATTTTCACCTGCGCCACGATTTTATTATTTGTGATGTCAACTGACAACAGGACCTGGATTTTGGAAGCAAATGGCTGATGGATTCAATAAATCATACAACCAAATTTGTTTTGTGTTAATAAAATAAGCATACAATGTTAGTATTAAACTTCTTTTATCTTTACTTATTCTTCAGGTTTCCTACTTCTTTTGTCTATCTAATAACAAAAAATTATAATTTATTTTAGAAATTCATGCATTTTTATTGTGTTCGTTTGGTATTAAAAATTTATACGAAAACTGATATTTTACAATTTGAATCAAAACATTAAATTCGAAATATATATTTTTTATTTGAATCTAGATGTCAAGGTTTGATAGGCCTAAACTAGCAATTACAAAGATATTATTTAGGCCCTAAAAGAGGCGGTGATATTAATTGTAATAAAATTAAAAATAATAATAAAATTTACTGTAAATTTATCCATTCTCGTATTCATACTTAACGAATATCTTAAATTTATCTTTATCTTCATTTTCTCATATATTTAAATGGTATGAATAATTTTTATATTCTTAACTTAAAAAAAAATAAAAAAACTTTTTTTTAACTTTTTTTATTTTTATTTTATATATTTAGATTTTTTAAAATATATATTAATATATATTTTTAATAAAAATATATTAATTTTAATTAATCTGAAACAATAATTTATATTATTTAATAAAAATTTATTTATTAAATAGATATAAATATATATCATACGAGTATGAAACACGTACTATATTACTTATTTTCATTCTTACACCTAATAAAAATTTAAAATCACTCATTTTCATTTGATACCAATAATATAATATCTATCTTCATCTCTATCTTCATTTGAATAAAAAATTAAAATTTTCATTAAATATGGATAAGATTAACATTCTTAATCTTTCTTTCTCGGTAATGCGTGCAGCATGAATCATGCCATCCTATCAACGAGAACATTCTTCAAAAAAAATTTCTACATTATAAAATTATTAATAAATGATATGATAATTTATAGTGCTTTGATAATATATAATATTTATACATTGATAGTATATTAAATATAAATTTTTTACATTTTATGATAATAATGAAAAATTGATTATTAATTAACTTAGTTTAATATAAATTACTTGTTTGAATAAAAAAATTTAAATTATAAAATCTTAAATATTTTAGAATATATTTAACTAAAAAATGGAAATTCGGCGTAAAGAAAATGAAGTAAAGCCCAATTATTTCAACGGGCTTCAAATTGGGCCATATTTGCTGATTCAAAATGTGGGTTTTATTGGAACCGGCAAACCCAGAACTCACCTTCCCAAACGGTCAAAAGTCAAACCTCCCTCCATAAACCAATCCCTAATCAGATTCGATCCCCATAAACGCACAAACCCTGGCGATCCCGCTGTACTGAGTTTCAATAAAAATCCAAAACAAAGCTATTAAAACCAGAAACCCTAAAATTGAATTGTCCCAGAAAAGCTCGCGAAGATGGGGAAGAAACAGCACAGCAAAGATCGAATGTTCATAACGAAGACGGAGTGGGCCACCGAGTGGGGCGGCGCTAAATCCAAAGAAAATCGCACCTCTTTCAAACGCCTCCCCTTCTATTGCTGCGCGTACGCCTCACTCTCCATCCTCACATTTGTTTATATCTTTATTTAATTCATGCTTATTTACTTGCAACATTTTATTTATTTATTTATTTTTTTTGGGGTTCCTTATTCAGTCTTACGTTTACGCCGTTTGAGTTGCCAGTATGTACGAAGGATGGCAGCGTCTTCGATATAATGTTGGTATCTTTGTATTTTCATTTGTTACTAATTTTAATCTTTAATTTTTTGATGCAATTTAGGGTTTGATTTTCATTGTTTTCTGGCGCAGGAATATAATTCCTTATATTGGGAAGTACGGGAAGAATCCTGTTACTGGGGCTCCATTGAAGCAAGAAGATCTTATCCCTCTTACTTTCCACAAGAATTCTGAAGGTTAGAGATACTTTATTTACTTACTCATATTTTTAATATGATGAACCAAATGTAATGCTTGAACATCCATATGATATATTGCCGCCGTCATGTTTCAGCAAAGCATTTTGTAGATTTAGAAGTAAACTTTGTAGAGTTTATATTAAAAAAGAGTACTTGTTTGAAATGTTTTTTCCTTGTGGTACAAAATATAGTGTAGTAAAGATGTTCATTGTTTGAATTGTTTATTTGAGCTATATAGATCACATTAATAGCTTTCTAGATTCTTTTATAAAGTGTATGATATTTTTGGAGGATTTATTCTTTGCATGTGATACAGCGATGTTATGCAAAACAACATTTTGGTCTTCTATCCTTTACTTGACATTTTATGACTTTTTCAACAAGGTTGAACGTAAGTGTGCACTGCTTCTTTTCGCTATGGCATGCAAATTCTGGATGTTTTACAGTTACCTCAGGTTTAGGTTGCAAAATCAAAAGCATGGGATGGGTTGTTGCATGTTATCTTTAGGTTTATTCTCATTTTCTCTAATAACAAGTCTATGAAGAACGCAGGTCTTGCCATCTTTTGGAGTTATTTCCTGTTCTTTTATTAGTTTAATTAGTTGATGTCCTGCAGGACTAGAGTATACTTTGTTTAAATTTTGAGCTGAAAATCAAGAAGTTGAAAACTAGAGTCTGGTAGTGAATGACGTTTTTTTCTTAAATGTCACACTATCATTTTTATAGGTCATGTCAAGACATCCTTTTCCCATTACCATGAAGTTTGTAAATTGCTCTGAAACTAGTTATTTTCAGCTATAAATCATTTGAAAATGAAGGAAAATAGGTGGGGAAAATGCACATAATAATAAATCTTATGTTTGTTATGGTTATGAAATCATATGTTGTAAATTCAAGTTTAACTAGTTGAGAAATGGAATAAATGTTTGAGATGCTCTTTGGTGGCAGTCTGCATAAAGCCTATGAATTCTCATGGGTAGTAGATTTAAACCTTTTTATAATAGTCATGGGTAGTAGATTTAAACCTTGTTATAATAGTCCTGGCCTTCTTATTAATGTTTTCATATTGATCATATTATTGCAATTTCGTAAAAATGCTGTATAAACAATGTTTTTAGGATCGCTTGTTTTCTTTGCAGCCTTGTTGGTATAACGATGGCTTGTCTCTTCGATTTTACATTTTTAGATTTTAGTTTATTTTCAAGATCTTGAGTCTTTGCACTTTTGTTTTACTTTCATGCCTCAAGGATTTTTAAATGGTTCCTTAACTCAATGCAGGAGAGTATCATTGCCCTGTGCTGAACAAAGTTTTTACCGAGTACACACACATAGTTGCTGTGAAGACTACGGGAAATGTGTTCTGCTTTGAGGTTTAGTTTCTTGCTTATTGTCAAGGTTTTCCTCGTATATTAGCATGTGTTAAAGTACAATAATATTGTTCCATTTTGTTTCTATTGTAGGCAATTAAAGAATTAAATATCAAGACCAAAAACTGGAAAGAGCTTCTTACAGATGAACCTTTCACTAAGGAGGACATCATTACAATTCAAGTAGGCAGTACATTTAATTTGTCTTCTGTTTATCTTTTGATTAATGCATTTTTTTAATTGTTTTGCTAGTGTTACATCATTTTATAAGATGGTTCTTATATTGCTGGTCATGTTCTGCAGAATCCTAATGCACTTGACAGTAATGTTATCCTGGATTTTGATCATGTCAAAAATAATTTGAAGGTTGATGATGAAGGTATTGTTTACCACTGTTTTGGCTGTGCTTGCCGGTAGGATTAGCTATGTCCACCCCTCCTTTTCCATGGTTTTGATTTCTTCTATAATCTCTTTGCAGAACTAAAGAAAATGAGTTCAGATCCAACTTATAACATAAATGTTGCTGGGGATGTCAAGCAGATGTTAGCAGAGCTTGGAACTGAGAAAGCGAGGCAAACTGCTTTGCTTGGAGGTGGTGGCAGCAAGGCTCAAAATGAGAGGGCTGCTGCTCTAGCTACTATTTTAGCTGCAAGGTCTCGCATCAAAGAGGATTCAACGTCAGATGCAAAAGGAGAGAGTAAAACTCAACCTGCATTTAGTATTGTAGATGCTGCATCTGCTTCAGTACATGGAAGAAGTGCTGCTGCAGCAAAAGCTGCATCAAGTGATAAAACTGCTGCTCGGATAGCTATGCACATGGCTGGTGAGAGGGCACCTGTGAATGCTAAGCTGGTAAACTTCTTGTTTTCTTGGGTTTACTTATGGACGTCACCTTTTATCATAGAGCCCTATCCCAAACTAGATGCTGAGTTTGAAGGCTAATGTCTTTTATTCAAAAAAGATATTTTTATCATTCGTTGAGTTTAGGGATGTTAATGGGTAGGGTATGGGGTGGGTAGAGCATTCTCCATCCCTATCCCCAAATTTTTATATTATACCTATCCTCGTACTCATATTCAAAGGGTATTTCAAATCTATCCCTATCTGCATTCTTACGGATATTTAATGGGTATGGGTAATACCCTTACCCATAGGTTTGAAAAAAAAAACCAAAATTTATTTTTTTAGCTTTTTTTATTTTTAACTTGTATATTTAGGTAAATTTTTATAAATATATATTAATATATATTTCAATAAAAATATATTAATTTTAATTAATCTAAAATAATAATTTATATTATTTAATAAAAAATCTATTTACTAAATATATATAAATATATATGTAGGGTACGAGTATTGGGCGGGTGCTATATTACATGTCCCCATCCCCGTATCCAATAAAAATTTAAAATTATATCAATCCCCATCTCCATCCCTCTACCCACAATTTAATACCCACCTCCATCCCTATTCGGGTAAAAAGTCGGGTTCCCCATTGGATATGGGTAAGATTGGCATCCCTATTTGAGTTTCTATCTCATTCTATGTACCGGTAGTCCTTCAGAGACATTTTAGTGTTCGTCTATTAATTGGACATTCTAATGGTAATGACTTATGATAATCATTCTGTCATCATTCAATTGATAATGGTAAGCTTATGTGAGAGTTGGTATATTAATTATCTAGAAATTGGAAAAGGATACTTCCTGATGAAGATGATCATGGATTTAGATTCTTAGTCCTCATTTTAGATCCATGAAGGGGTTTTAGTATATAGAATATGCCTCAACATATCTCTAAACAATTTTAGCCTTGGTTAATGTTAACATTGGATTGTTTATCAGGTGAAGAGCCGTTTTACTACTGGTGCTGCTTCACGGTCCTTTACTTCTACCTCTTATGATCCTGTCACCAAAAATGAATTTGAGTATGTTAAAGTTGAAAAAAATCCCAAAAAGAAAGGTTATGTTCAGCTGCATACAACTCATGGTGATTTGAACATCGAGCTACACTGTGATATAACTCCAAGGACATGTGAGAACTTCATCACTCTTTGTGAACGTGGTTATTACAATGGAGTGGCCTTCCACAGAAATATTCGGTATGGTGACAATTGCTCAGTTCAAATTCTATTTCTGTTTTCAGCACTTGGCTTAATAGTTTGACTCATGCTGGTGAAGTTATGCTTTCTGGTATGTAGGAATTTTATGATTCAAGGAGGTGATCCAACTGGTACTGGGAGAGGAGGTGAATCTATATGGGGAAAGCCTTTTAAAGATGAACTGAACTCTAAATTGGTTCACTCAGGAAGAGGCATTGTTAGTATGGCAAACAGCGGCCCTCATACAAATGGTTCACAGTTTTTTATCCTCTACAAATCTGCAAATCATTTAAACTTCAAACATACAGTTTTTGGGGGAGTTGTTGGTGGCTTGACCACACTATCAGCTATGGAGAAGGTTCCCGTTGATGACAATGACAGACCGCTGGTGAGTTTCAATGTTGAGTATTCTTTCCATAACTAGTGATTTCTCAAGTGTGTATTTTTCCATGTTAGCATGTGCTTACTATCAGCGGCATCGTTGATTGCTTCTGCAATATAAATGCAAGTTCCCTCTTTTTTCAATTTATAAATTGTTACCTATTTTGTTTGATATTCTTACATTTTATTTTTGTTTAGTTGTGCATTGAGAAGAGATGATATGAGGTCAGAACCAGTTTCTATTTACAATAAGGTCTTTGCATATCTGTTTGTGTTGTATTTGCTACTGCATCCCTTTTAATCATGTATGATTTGCAACCGAAATACATTTTGTAAGGAAATATCCTGATCGTGGTGATTGTAATGCCTCTGGACTGCTCAACTTGTAGCATTTTAGCACCTGTTTAATTAGAAGGATTGGCTACTGGGATAATTTCTGTTCCAAGCCTAATTTCTGTGTGTTTTCCTCTGTTGCTTGTACAGGAGGAGATTAAAATAATTAGTGTCACAGTATTTGTAAATCCATACATGGAACCTGATGAAGAGGAAGTAGAAGAGAAGGGAGAAGATGAAAAGACTGCCGAGGATGAAGATAATGTTAGTTTTTGGACCCTCTGATCCTGAGAATTCTGGATTTTTTTTCCAACTTATATTTCTTATTCAGAACTTATCATCTTGGGCTTCTTTGAATTCCAGGATAAGGTTGGGTCGTGGTATAGCAATCCGGGTACAGGAACAGCAGAATCTGGAGCTGTGGGTGGCGGTGGTGTTGGAAAGTACTTAAAGGCTAGGAATACTCAGAGTGAGTCTGCTTCTATTGATACCATAACAGCAATATCTGTAGCAAAGAAAAGGAAAGTCATGGGAGGAGAATTTAAAGATTTTTCTGCCTGGTGAGAGTTCGCTAATGCTTTACCATCCTTTTAAATGATACGAAACATGCTGTGGAGCTTGGAAGCAAGGAATGCTCGAATTTGAATTTGCCACTTATTACTGCTCCAAAAAAACCCAATAGCAAAAATATGGGAGTTAAAAAGATTCAATGGCAGAAATCAAATTCTTTTTTATCCTCGGTAAGAATTTTGCCCAAGCTTTGTAACCATATGTATAGACGGTGGATATGCTGGTAGATATAAGTGTAAGTCAGCAGAGTAAGATATATTTCCAAGGTGGCGAAAAGAAGAGGAATTGAAAACCAGCATTATTCCTTTCATTTGTATGAGTAAAAGTTGTACGAAATGGAGATCAGATTTTTTTTTTCTTATTAAGACAACATTTTCATTCCTGTTATTCAGTTAATCAATTATAAGAAACAGATTTTGTCCAAATGATCTCTCCCTTTCTTTGAACTATGATTCCCAGGAAATTACATGTTTTTGACACTGTTCTCTGGTTTCTTCCTGTATCCCTCGCTGCTTCCTACGAGTTTCTTTCGAAATGTTGGTTTAGACCCAAGATCTGTTAACCTGTTTTCAATCATATATGTGAAATTTCACATGTATCACTGCTTTAGCTTTTTGTTGGGATGTCCCTTGAGTATAGGCTGCTGTAAACGGCACAGTTTCACTTGCATTCATACAATTGCTTGTGCAATTGGGCCACAAGCAATACAAACTCCATCTATGTCCATTCTCACAAAACAGAAGTGGGTAGCTTTTGACACACGGCATGCTTGCCACATGCAGGTGAATCGCTTTTTGACTGGCTCTGCACAGGTTCAGCTGTCAGGTAAGCGTGACTGTCTTCTAGCATTTTTCCATGTAGATGTTGTATGATCGTATTTGCATATATAGGAGTTTTCCTCGATAATATGATTGAATTTCCCGTACTACAGAATGATGATTTCTGAACTTGTGGAATGGGTTGAAATCTTTGTTGAATTCCACACTGACAAGTCAGGATTGAAGTTCGTTTGTATATTTTACTTGGTAAGGGTCATTCTGTGCTAGCTGCATGCATTATTTGAATCCTTTCACATGGAACACGCACAATTGATAGACAATTATGCTGTTAACTCGAGGTCCCGCCCTAGTTTTCCCTCAAATCTGTAAAGCATATTCCTAGTGTAGCATTGTGACCGTTGAACTATGTAGTGATTAAATGCTGCAATTATTGGCTTTGCAATCAGTTGCACCTTAAGCTTATTTTCAATGTTAAAATTGTGAGTCTATAAGCCTTTGATTAGCCACTTTCTCCACATCAAAGCAATTGCCTGTTGTCTCAGATCGGACCTGCATCAGCTGCAGGGATTATGGTGCTGCTTCTGTACCACAAAACACTATAGAAAAGACAGTGGAAAATATATCATCCTAAAATCTATCAGAGCTCTGATGTTTGTGCATTTAAAAGGAAAAAAAAAAGTCCATTTGACACTCATTTTGTCTGACACCTTACTATTGTTTTTCTTAAGAACTTACGTTTTCGCCATTTTGCAATCCACCCGTAATCTTTGCTCACTGCTCTGCATCAAGAACAAAGGGAAGACAATATGATTATATGGCAGCTGGATAAAAGACAGCACACACTTGGTGGCCCACTAGCTTTAGAATTCTCGAAAAAACAGGTCAGTTTGATCACTCACAGGGAGAGATTTTTGGATTTTTCCAGGTCACATTATCTTCTCCATATTAGTATTGCTATACAAAGCAAAAACACTTTCGAGAATGGTTTTTTCCACTCGTAGAGAAGATAGAAATAGCCATTATGGACCATTTCTACTTGGTGATATTGGTAGCAAATGTTGATTTCTGACTTAAAATGTCATTCATGACGTTGTCTAACTACAACTTTGATGAGCTGATTCAGAGCTTTTTCCGACAAAACATTCAGTTTTTTACTGGAAAACTTCTTTTATAGGAAATCATTGTCAACTTTCGGTGAAAGCTTGAATCAATCAATGCTGTAAGTAGATTGGTTTTTAAACAGGTCGATACCTCGAAAAATCATCCCCTAACCCCAAGTCTCTTCAATTATCTCCAACTGTCGTGAGTTGGTTAACCTTTAGGTTTTGATTGCAGCTATAAGACTTTGTTATTATTTTTGTCGATTTTTAACTCAAAACTCGTTGTTTAATTGTTACGTACATCTCCACCAAAATCACTTTTGCCCCAAAAATGGTTAAAACTTAAGCAGGAAAAGAAAGATGAAACATATGTTAGAAGTTGGAAGTATCCCTCTATTCCAATTCAATCGATTTATGTATATGACAATAGTTGAAAGAGTCTTAGAAAACAACAAATTACACAGTTATAATTTTTTTTTCTTTTATAAAAGAGGTCAAAGTTTTAAAATAAAAAAAATATTACGAATACTAGAAAGAGATTATAAATATTAAAATTTAAATCTTAGATCGATTGAATATTATTTTTTAAAGGTGGTTATATGAATTCAAATTATAATGATTTGATATCAATTTGCACCACTTTTATTAGAGGAAGATTTAGATAAAGTTACATAGATAAAGTTTGTGAAATTATCTACTAAAAATGATTAAATAAAAATAAAAAAATTTATAAATATTAGAATTTAAATTTCGATTGAATATCATCTTTTGGTGATTGTATGTAATCAAATTATAATTATTTGATATCAGTTTGCACCACTTTTATAATGTAAAGATTTAGATAAAGTTATATAGATAATTTTTATGAAATTATTTATTAAAAATGATTAAATAAAAAATAAAATTAAAAATCAAAATAGATAAATTAAAATGTTTTGCTATATAAATCAAGTGTGTAAATATTGAAAAAAAGATTTAATAACTTTTCATATAGTTTTTAGATAGTCATTTTTAGTAAAAATTTTAACAAAATTTTTACTACTACATAAGTGTTAATCAAATTTAAATTATAAACATTTTCAATCATTTTTATATATTATTAATTTTTTCATTGAATTCTATTAATTTATCAATTTGAATTTTTATTAAAATTTTAATTGAATTTTTATATTAAATTTTTTATGAATTTCATTAAAATTTTTTTCTTTTAATTAATAATTTATGTATTATGTAGACACCCCATTTTGTTTAAAATATTTTTAGGATCAAAAATGGACTTTCGACCATAAATTGGGTCCAATTGGGAAGCATCGAGCCCAATATGAATAATCTTCATTTTAATTTGATTTAATTTTTAGTCTTATTTATTTATTATTATTATTATTTATTTTTTTAAAGTCAAAAAATAAAAATAAATAAATAAAGGAAACGAAATCAAAATAAGAAAATTTTGGAAATTCATAAATCATAGTTGTTTGAAATTGGAAATAAAATCAATTAGAAAACCAAGAATTAAGCAATCTTCTTGATCGAATTTGTTCTATGACAGAGTCGATCTATCTTAAAATCCCTACAATTTCTGAAAAGAACCCTATAAATCATGCCTAAAAAACATATACAACACACACTCAAGCTCACAGCAAAAGACAAAAAACTTATAGGGGAGTTTTTAAGTTTATTTATTTATTTTATTTTGTGGGTTTTGGAAATTTTGAGGGAAAAAAATTAAAAAAAAAAGGATTTTAGTTTCTAGAGAAAGATTGGGGTTCTGGATTTTGGAATTAAATGGTTCTAATTTTTGAGTTTTGCTCCAGAAATTCGTGATTAAAAAGTTGGAATTTGTGTCATAATGTATAGATCTGTAGACCTATCGTTAGATTTAGAATGAAAGGAGTCGTCACCAATCTTTTTGGGTTAGGTGTGATTGGCCACCTGATTAAAGCTAATCTGCAAAACAAAGGTCAGCTTCAGAAGTAGATTGTGCATGAAGAATATTATAACACCCCCAAAACGCCCATTCAAGGGATGACATCAGTTTGATTTCGAATTATCCAAGCCTTGCTTATTTAGTAAATCTTATACTTTCCCTTTTTTGTTTTTTTGTTTTTTTCTTTTTTTAGAAATTTTTTTGGGAGAAGTTTACTTTTTCTTGAGAAAAGATAGAATAATTTTTCTTTTTTTTTTTCTCTTCTTTTTTTAATAAAAAAAGTAAGAAATAAAATATGGGTAAAAATAAATAAAATAAAAAATAATAAAAAAACCTGCGATCGGGTTGGGACGCCGGTCAGTGCACGGATCTTTGGGTCGACGCGCGGATCCTAGTGTGTCAAAACGGCTTCGTTTTGGAACAGTATAAAAGGCACCTTTTAGTGTTTTTTCTCAAAAACCTCATAGCCTCCCTCTTTCTACCCCAAAAATCCTCTGACCTCTTTCTAGAAGCCCACCGAAAAGTTCAACCAAAAACTAAAAACCCCACTAGTTTCTGGAAACTTCGTCAGAAAATTCAATCGAAAATTGAAAAACTCATCGATTTCTGAAAAACCTATCGGATTATGGAAATTTCATCGGAATCTCGTCGAAAACTTCAACATTCATCGAAAATTTCTACTGAAAAATTCAATGTTCTTAAAAAAACCCAAAAAAAAAAAAAACCCAAAAAAATTCCCAGATAATCCTAGCCCTTCCTAAAGCTCTACAACCTCAAATCCACCTTCAAAAACCCAAAATCCCACCTAGAACTACAAATTGAACCTAAAATCCCTATCTTTGAATCCTAGAAACCCTTACTGCCAAAATTTTTTCAGAGCTTCCCTAATAATTTTCCTTGTGTTCTTTCCTTATTTTTGTGTGTCCTCTAGTATCAGAATCAGTCCAATTTATAGGTAATCTTTGGAGTAATTCTAGGAATTGAACATAATCAATCACAGGCTTGAATCTTGAGATTGCATTCTGTCCAACGAGATTTTCGAGTGTAAAATTTCAGTCATTGATATGATTTGCAATCAAAGTTCTGACCTATGACTTTGATTCTGATTATCTTGTCCATGTGCATATTGAATCGAAAAGCAAAGATTCCAAGAAAAAATAAAAAAAAATGAAAAAAAAATAATAGTAATAGTAATAGTAATAATACTAATAAAAAAATAATAAAAGCACCTAATTGAACCTAGATGGGCCAAAATGAGCCCAAACCGAGATGAGCCTAACCATAATGGGTCTAGTTGGGCCTAATCAGACCCAGATCAAAATGGGTCAAGGTGGGCCATATTGGGCTCGAACCAAGATGGGCTTAATAGGGCCTGTACCAAAATGGGCCTAATAGGGCCCGGATCAAAATGGATGTCTATAGCTACCCCTATTTATATATCTTTGTCAGACAAGGATGTTACAAAGACTTAGACACCCATTCTGATCTCGAATTTGAAAAATGACTTGGATTGAACTAAGGTTAGGTGACCAGGATTAAACCACAAGTCCAATAAAGCGACTAGGACCAAGTCGAGGTAAAAAATAATGATTGAGATGAAACCAAGAGTCATGAAGAATGATTTGGACTGAGCCAAGATCAAATTATCGGGATGAAACCACAATCCAAAATAAAGTGACCATAAGTAAAAAATGAAGTGATTAAAACTGAGTCAAGGTCGAAAATAAATGATCGGGACAGAACTACGAATCATGAAAAATGATCTAGATTGAGTCAAGACCAAGTGACAGGGATGAAACCACAAGTCAAAAATGAAGTGACCAAGATCGAGTCGAGGTAAAAAATGATCAGGACAGAACCATGAATCATGAAGAATGATCTGGACTGAACCAAGATCAAGTGACCGAAATGAAACCACAAGCCAAAATAAAGCGACCAGGATCGAGTCAAGATCAAAATAAATGATCGGGATGAAACCATGAATCAAGAAGAATCATTTGGACTAAGCCAAGATCCAGTGAGTGGGATAATGTAAATGCATGCCTTATTTAGAATGCAAACGAATCATTAATTATGCTACTAAAGCTTTTGTATTCTCATTTCTGTACACCTTTAGTAGAGAAACCATCGAATATCATCCTGCATGTTCACCTTCATTGTGCACTCTAGTAGAGAAATCTCCTTTCACATTTGGTAAAGAAGCTATTTTTCATCAACTCAGAGGCATATTTTTGGCAAAAGACCATATTTCATTAGCCTGAAGTCATGCAAAGAAACTATTTTTTATTAACCTGGAAGCATGTTCTTTGTCAAAGGAGTCATTTCGCCTATCTGTTAAGGAAAGCCATATAAGTCTTTTTTGAGTCATCTTTTATCTTTATCCCTTTCAATCCTTTAAAATAGCACATTTCTTATGATTTTGTTCAATTACTAATCATTATCCAAATTCCAAAGTATGAGGATGCAAGTTATGCATTTCTTTCATTCATGGTAAGGTATAAAAAAAAAGAGCAATGTACATTATTTAAAGAATGATAAGATGGCTTTCATTTATGTGGATAATCAGTTATAGATGATGGTGTGAAGGAAAAGAATGTACAAAAGTGATTATTTTAGGGTGTAGTGCCTCAGGACAAATGATTAGATAATTATGATAACAAATTTTAAATTTCCTTCAAAAACTCAATCAAAACTTGATGCCCTAACACTTTAAAGCTCTTTGAAATTTACTGTCCCTGATATGCTAATTCTAGTTACCTTTAGAGTTTTGATCTTTCTTTTGGTTCGAAGTCGTCCTTTCGGGTTTTTGACTTGAACTTTTTCCCTTCATTTTTTTTTTTGAAAAATTAAGCAAAATACTTCTTCACTATTCAAAGTTAATAGGACTATGAAGTTCATTACCATTCATCTCCGACAAGATCAAGGTTTCTCTGAAAAAAGCTCTTTTTACCACATAAGGCCCTTCCCAATTTAGAGTCCATTTTTCACTATCATTATGATGACTTGGAAGAATATTTTTTAACACTAATTTTTTCTTTCGAAATTGTTAAAGTCTGACCTTTTTATCATGGGGTCTCATCATTCTTCTTTGATATAA